TGATGGAATTCGGAGGAGGCCTAGTCTGTGGGATCTAATTGGTCTAGTGGAGGTAATTGAACATGTGACATAAGGGGTCCAGACATCCCTTCCCCTGTCCTTTAGCTCATAATCATATCAGGGATGTGTTCTGGCAGTCACTACTGCCGGTTTGCTCATGGGCTGCGCTGTGTGTGCATGCACAGTGCAATAAAAATTGCTCAGTGTATGCGCAGAAGCAAAAATCAAATGGAGGCGCTGCTGGGAGAACCAGTTGGGGGTGTGGCAGGCCTGTGTCACTGCCAGTTCCAGCGACCCAGGCCGCCAAACCACTACCGGTTCGGCTAAACCGGGCCAAACCGGTAGGAAGCCACCTGTGAGTCATATGTTGGCAGTACAGACAAGCAATGCTGATCAGTTGTATGTCAGTCATTTTTTTAATCTCCCAGCCAATACAAAAACTCTGATATTTTGCTTTGCTTCCATTTAGGGTTTTTTTTTTCCTGCCTTTGGAGCAAAAAAGCAAAATAATTTCATAATGAGCAATTTGTCTTATCCCGTTCATTTCTGTAAGCACTTGTTGGAAAAGACCCTGATGTTGGGAAAGATCGAAGGCAAAAGGAGAAGGGGACGGTCGGCAGAGGATGAGATGGTTAGATAGTGACATTGATGCAGGGATCATGAATTTGGGAAGATTCTGGGAAAGAGTGGAGGACTGGTTCTACCTTGAACGGGTGACAATTTTAGTTTCTGAACAGGGAATTGACCTTGATGGACTTCGCGTTTCTAGATCCTATCATATCTCAAGACTTAAAATTGGACGCCTAACATCAAAAATGTCATCAAAAAGCACAACGAAGAATATTCTTTCTGCACCAACTCAGAAAGTTCAAACAGCCCAAAGAGCTGCTGATTCTGTTCTGCAGAGGAATTATTGGGTCTGTCATCTGCACCTCCGTAACTGTCTGGTTTGGCTCTGCAACCAAATCAAACTTCAAGGGATAATTAGATCTGCAAAAAAAACAATGGCTACCAACTTGCCTTCCATGGAGGACCTGTACACTGCACAAGTCAAAAAGAGGGCCGTGAAAATATCTACAGACCCCTCATATCCTAGACATAAATTGTTTCAACTTCTACCCTTAAAACGACGCTATAGGGCACTGTGCACCAGAACAATTAGACACAAGGACAGTTTTTTCCTCAAATGCCATCACTCTGCTAAACAATTAATCCCCACAACACTGTCAAATTATCTACTAAGACTGTATTACTATTATTCTTCTCTTCATTCCTAATACCTATCTCTTTACTAGTACCTATCTCTTTCAACTTATAACTATAACCATNAAGTGGCTGCAGTACAGCACTTTAACCACTGCGCCACCTTGGCTCTTGCCAAGGGCTAAACTCCTTTAAAAAATGTCTCACTTAGCAACAGGAATTTTGGGCTCAATTGTGGTCATAGGTTAAGGATGCCTGTACTTAATGCATACCAGAGGTGGCATTACTCAATTCACAAGGAATAAAGATTGAGAAAAACTGAGCAACTCTTACCAAACTATTCCCTGAGCTCCAGAGCCGATTGGTTTCAAGTTCTGGTAGCGTTTGAGAACTGTGAAGGTCGAGTCACCTACTTCCACACTGTAGAACTGGTTGTCAACTTTGCTTTTACTCATGTTGTAGTATTTGGCAATATATGACACATCCACTTGTTTCCCAAATCCCTGTCATGAAGATGGAACGATGTAGACAAAGAGAGAAAGACAACAGAAATTCAATAAACCCGGAGCATAATGAGCTGCTCAAAATACATTCCTAATTTCAATATTCAGATATTTATATCTATACCCAGTTCTTTAAATACCTCAGTAAAAAGGAATTTAGTCATAGGTTTTGCTTAGAAAGATGAAATCTAACTTTACAAAGCAAGTTATAGGTAAAAGATCTATTAGGCTGAGCACAAGAGTTTGTATAACATTGTCAAGACTTCGTTGCATAAATCAAATCCAGAAAGCACACACAGGTAACGGATTCAGCAGGATTCTTTAAGTTCTCTTTATAGATAATATAATACATAAGTAAATATGCAATACCAACAGCTGGTTCACAGGCAGAGGAGAGAATAGTTTTGTTTCAGTTCAGATAGGCTAGTTTCAGTTTTAGAGCTGAGCACGGAGCTAAGCCATGCCCAGATTTCTTGCTTAAGTTTCTGTTTTCCAAAAAAAGCCCCATTGGCTGACCTGTTATCATGCCTATTCATTGGCTGACCTTGTTACCATGTCTCTGCCAGTTCATGAATATTCTGACCAACATGTTTTCCTTCTCTGGACAAGAATCCCCCTTTGTAAATACTAAAATATGTTTGTAAATAGGAGTTAACAAAAAATGATATTCGGTGTGTAAAGTAAAAACTGTCTGTTGTGCACTTGATACAGCCCTGTCATAATGCAATCTTCCTCAGAACCTTATTATGTAAATGTGAAAACTTTCAAAATTGTGTAAGAGATGTCATAGGCTCACCAATAATTATTTATGGAAGCATGCTTGAAAAATAACATGTACGTGTGACTTAATGTGATCATCTAGTTCAGGGGTATCAAACTCGATTTCATTGAGGGCTGCATCAGGATTGTGTTTGAATTCATGAGGGCTGGGGTGGTGGTGGCCATGGTGGCTAGCTCGACGTCACTGGGCGCCTGTGGTGGCCCAATTGCTCTGCGAGTGAAAACAGGCGCATGTGCTTCATTTTCTGCTGCAACTCTCTTCCAGCGAAAATGGAGCTTGTGAGGGCCATGCTCCATTTTAGCTGGCCGAGGCACACGGCTGGTCCTTTGCTGATTCCAGGGCGGCCCTGCGGGCCACCCAGTGGACCGGATCTGACCCGCGGGCCTTGAGTTTGACACCCCTGATCTAGTTGAAACTTTAGTTTGCCAAGGGGCATACCTACCAATTACTTTCATCGCATGTGGCATGGTAATTTTTTCAGACATGATCTTTCTCTCAGTTCAAGCTAGATGTTATTCAGGACAGCTAATCTTAAGACTTTTATGGCTCTTGTTCTATTTTTGCCTGCCAAAAAGTTTTTGCACACCAATCAATTAAGTCTGCTTATTTCAGCTCTCTTTTTCCCCTCCTGCCAAATGGGTTAAGGTTAGATTTAGGGCTATTGATCACGGGAGACAGTTACAGCTGTGAATTTATGTACTCCCTTCTTAATCACAACAAAGACATTGCTCCAGTGAATAATGGACGTCAGATTTTAACACGAGTGGTGGCAAAAAAAGAAGGACAGGAGCAGAGTTTCATATTATATTTCTATTACATTTCCAGGATTAAATCCTAGTGCAAATTCAAAATGTGCCCCAAAATAAATAAAACCCCAAGGCACTGAAATCCACAATACATTATTATTTATATTTCCCTAATATCAGTACGTTCCTATGTTATAATAAAAATGAGATTTGAGGTTGATTTGTGTTCATGCGCTTGTATTTTATTTCATAAACTAGCTGATAGCCTGGTGTTGCCCGGGTATTTATTTATCCTAATCCTGTATTAGACAGGAAAAGCCCTGATTTTGTTGAAAGTGTCCAGACCAAAAGTAATTTCTAATGTTGGATTTTCCCCCTTACCAGAGGGAGCCCNATTCCATTCCATTCCTCATTCTGTTCTGTTCTATTCTATTCTATTCTATGCTATATGGCTATTTTTTCTTCTGTTCAATCACAGCCAGTTCTCTGGATACATCCCTGCAGTTATCTTGGCAAGGTTTTTCAGAAATACTTCCTTCCTAGGGCTGAGAAAGAGTTACCAGCTACAGGTCACCCAGCTGGTTTTGTGCCAGGACTAGAATTCAAGGTCTCCATGTTTCTAGCCTGATTCCTTAACCACTACAATGCTCTCGCATTAATAGCTACGTACAGTTTTATAATTCTGTGAAATTCTTATTTCTATGACTTTTACGCCCACTTTCTATTAGAATAATTCCCAACCTCCAGCACTCCTACTGAGAGGATGAACCAGCAGGAAATGAGAAAGACTGTTCCTGAGCTAAACCCAATCTGCTAGAAAATATTGTCCTATGAGACACTGTCATATGTTTCTAAACAGATGTGGGGGTGGTTTCAATCCCCATAGGAGTGGAGAAGGTTGTGGAAGCAACAAACAAACAAAATTAAACTCTGAGTAGATTTGAAGTCTTTTCCTCCTGCTGATTCATCACAAATGCCTATTTCTACTTGTTTTTTTTTTTTACTTGGCAGAATAAGAGAGTTGGAAGGGAACTTGAAGGTCTTCTAGCCCAACCCCCTGCACAAGCAGGAGACCTTATACCAGTGGTGGGATTCAAAAAATCTAACAACCGGTTCTCTGCCCTAATGTCCATCTGGGTAGCGGGGCTCGCTGGTCATGTGACTGCATGGGCGTGGCCAACTCAATGTCACTCAGGTCAACGGGCGCTTCACCTTAGCTGTTAGAATGTAATAAGGGTTAACCAGAGAGGCAGTTTCTGTAAGCAGGGCAATAAAGATTAGTCTAGAAACACCAGAATGTTTCCTTCCTGCCTTCCTTACAGGATTAGCCCCGCAAAGTGGAAAAAAACAAAAGGAGATTTCCTCCCACAACCGGTTCTCTGAACTGCTTAGAAAGTTAACAACCGGTTCTCCCAAATAGGTGTGAACCGGCTGAATCCCACCACTGCTTTATACCCATGATGGTGAACCTATGGCACAGGTGCCACAGGTGGCACATGGAGCCATATCTGAGGGCACGCAAGGCATTGCCCTATGTCAGCTCCAGCTGATTTTCAGCCTTCCAGAAGGCGGGGGGAGGCTGTTTTCGCCCTCCCCAGTCTTCAGGAAAACCTGGGGAGGGCAAAAAATGACCCAACAGGCTTACCGGAAGTTCCAGACTTTTGATAGACCCGTTGGACTCGTTTTTCGCCATCCACAGGCTCCGGGGGCTTTCCTGAAGCCTGGGGAGAGCAAAAAACAGCTCAATGGAGCTACTGGAAGTCCGGAGGCTTCAGTGAGGTCTGTGCGCATGTGTGGAAGGGAGCGTGGGGGGAGGAGTTGTGCGCGTATGCGCAGGGGGAAGGTATTGCATTATGGGTGTGGGCACGCACGCACTATTGCATGCATGCACCTGAGGAGAAAAACATCTGCCATCACTGCCCTATACCATTCTGGACCCATGGCTGTCCAATCTCTTCTTAAAAACCTGCATTGCTGGAGCACCCACAACTACTGAAGGCAACTCGTTCTATTGCTTAATTGTTCTCACTATCAGGAAATTACTCCTTAGTTCTTGGTTGCTTCTCTCCTTGATTAGTTTCCATCCATTGCTTCTTGTCTTGCCTTCTGGTGCTTTGGAGAATAGCCTGACTCCCTCTTCTTTGAGGCAGCCCCTCAAATATTGGAACACTGATGTTATGTCACCCAGTGGTGGGATTCAAATAATTTAACAACCAGTTCTCTGCCCTAATGACCATCTGGGTAGGTGGGGCTCAGTGGCCATGTGACCCGTTGGGCGTGGCCAACTCAAGGTCACTCAGGTCGATGGGC